ACTGTGAATGAAAAAGCAATGTATTTGAGATGCAATCCTATAGCAGAAGTCAATTATGTCTACTAGATCTGGCCTGATCAAATTAGGTGCTGACAAGAACAGGTAGATCGACATTGTTGCCAAATCTACAAAAAACAACCCCAAACCAGAAAAAACAACCAACCAGAAAAAAACCAACAAAAACCAAAGAGAGACTTTCCAAAAATCTGAAAATACATTTACATTTCAGTCTTGCTCAAGGAAGATTTCTGGCAGTATTTTTTAATATGAATGTAAAAAACGTTTTAGACTAGAAAATGTCTCATGGTTTGAGCACTAAGGGAAAACCATGTAAGACTAATGGTGATTACCATTATACTTTTAAAATCCCACAAATACACAAAGGCTTTTCTTCTTAATGAAAGAACTAAAGTGTTTCCCAAAGACAACCTGAGACGTGTTTCTAAGTAATTTTTTTTGTTAAAAAAAATTAAAATGAAAGTAATTCCCTTACCATTCTCACATATCTGACACTGTAAAAAGTGACTTGTGGTTTGTCACTACAAAGTCAGAATGTAAATGTAGCTAGAGCAAAATGCTTACTCAGTGGGATAAAGCTGAAATATTTAAAAACAGCATATGTAGCCATAAGAAGAATGTTTTGTAATAGTTACTTAAGTTCATATTTATGTAAGTCTGCAATTTTCTGGGTATCTGATGAAGAAAACACAACATCCTGGTCCCTTGTTGTCCAGATATCTGAGTTATCAGGTCATCTGCCACACCAGTGACTCAACAGGTCATCTCAGACTACATCAGCTGATCAAATTTTTACACAGTATTCCAGGCAAAGTCTCCTTCATGAAATAGAAGCCTGGGAGCTGAATGGAAGGTGTGGGTGCAGGATAAGCCACAAAGGCCTAAGAAACTTGAAATTATTCAGCTGAGATTTTGACAGCTGCCTAGTGACCCCAAAATACCATTACACAGTATAGAAAACAGACTTCCCTGAATGTGCAAAAATGGCTTAAAACTTAGAAAACATCACTACGACACTTACTTTAAGTGACTACAAAAGAAGAAAAATATGGCAAGTGAAATTATTAAAAAACCCAAGATGTTTTGCAATCCAGTGATGTGATTGTGGTAAAAGCCTCAAAACTCCCCAGTTACCAACTCTGTTATATATTCATCTTCTGATAAAATTACACTACATGAGCACCAGTCCCTGACTGAAGGAGGGAGGGAACCAAACATAAATATATATTGAAACGATGCCAAAAAATACCTTAACTAGTAAGATTATACTAGTGAAGACCAAATACCTCTCAATTTATCCTGCTAGAGGGCATGAGCTTCCTGTGTCTTAGCCATATTGCTCAACATTGATTTTTAGCCTTTAACAATGGTTAAGAATTTGATTAATTGTCTGATTCACAATCCCGAAACATTATGTAAAAAAATTTCTCTGTGTACCAAAGGACTAGTGATGTTTTAATAGGATGATTGAAAAACTTTGGCTTTTCATGTACACTTGTGAGAGCTGAAAGTGTAGCCAAAGTCACAGTGTGGCTGAGCAGGTGGAACAGACTCAACCACCTCTGACTAAATGAATGGTAAATGCCACAAAGTGTGAAAATCAGACATGCTTATTTTTTTTCCTCTGCCTTTGATCACACATTGCAAGTTTTGCTGTTTTTTCCCAAAGGAAGGTGAGTCTATTTTCCAACTCTTCTGTGAAATGAATAGTTAAGAAGAACCTAAGGACTCAAAGCTCAGAAAAAGAGATGATCTATTACCAAAATGACACTTAATGGTATTACTTTGAAAGTGTATGCTGACTGTTTCCAAATAATCATCTTCCCAGCAGGTCTACAGTCTCACCAGTCTCTGTATTTTAATACTGGGAAGTGAGATATCTTTTACTATTACTGCTATCTACAGCACAGAAGTCAATACATGAATTTGCCAGCACACTGTAGATTTTCTCCTGAATTTTTTTAAAGCCTTTGTATTTAATGAAAAACCTTTGCTTTCGTATTTATACCTTTTAAGAAAATTGGCCTCATACGTGAAAATTTGTGAAACCTTCTCCCTCTAAAACCTTTTAGTTTTTGTAAACTCCTATTAGAACTACAGAAGGCAACCAAAAAGCAGTAATTTTTTTCCCTGCAAACAGATTGTTCTGACAATCACAATAGCAGTTTCTGTGTATTCTAGTATCTGCTGAGACACAAAAACAATTAGGGTGAAATCACAGCTCTAATTAAGATAAGGTGCTTGACTTCAACAGGGATTGTGATTTCACTCTCGGAATTCTAATTCGGGAACTGTTTGCGCAGTTAAGCATGTGGCACAGAAAGATTGGCATCCTCTACACAGTGCATATGCCATCTGTGTGCTTAAATTGGAACAGTGGCTCTCAAGTAGCCATTTTCTAGAATTTAATTCCCTTCAGTTGCAATCTGGAACATAACTTTGTGAGCAGAAGGGAATTAAACATTGCTGTGCAAAAACCATAATACCAAGTTTCCAGTTCAACAAGAACTAACTCCAAATCTGTTTTTCTTCTGTAACAACAAATACCTTTCTTTTTTTCATGGAAACATAATATTAAGCCACATGTAACTGTTACACACAACCATCACAAATTTACCTCAACAGGGTTATACAGAAACAGATTCTTCAATTAACCCTTAACAGCCCAAAGCAGCAATATAATGTTTAAAACCTAAGAAACAGGAGGATTGTTCCTCAGCTTAGGAACTTCCATAGACTTGCTGGAGAATTAGTTTAAATGGTCATTTTTTAAAAAGGGGCTTCCTAATGCATGAGTTGAGGATCCCCTTTCCTAATTCTTTTTTTTCATAGGCTGTAAAGAGTTAGTTAAGGTGCTGATGAGATGAGTATGAAGGCAGGGCTGAGTAGGTAGGTGGGACCTACTCGTGTTCCGTTATCTTTGTTGTAAAATTGGTGTGCGTGATCTAACAGGACAGGCAGAAACAATTTCCCAGAAAGCAGTAACATTCAGCCATCAGCAGGCAGTTAGTTACAGGACTGAGGAAGAAATGGGATGGCTCATTAAATTCATTACCTCACAGGATGAAGATTGCGTGCGATAACTTGGCACAATCTTAAAGGTAATACTTCCACGCATTTCCCTCTGCAAAAAGAGAAGCAATTCTGTAAAGACTGAGACACTGAAGATAAAATCGCTGATGCTTGAAAGGACAACATCAGAGTCTGAGAGCATCACTATGTTTTCTGATAGTAAATATTCAGAAAAGCTAAAATGCTATGGATAATTTGTCATTTCTCTTATTAACAAGCATTTAAATCATCTCTCATTAATCTCAAGGACAAACAAACATTACTAGTTTGTTCACCTGACCAGGTTTTGAATGCCTAGAATCTAGAACAGTGTTTTAATGTGAGAGAGTCAGAGATGTGTAGGATTCTTTCACGTCTTTGTAGATATGTTATCTGTGAGCCACAGAGTCTTTGCTACTAAAGCGACGTTTTCTTCCCTTTCATCATACATGTTGTACAGCAAAATTGTATCCAGTTTCTAGAAAGCTGCATGTTACTGTACTAACAGTAGAACTGTCAAAAATAGTCTTTGATCAGATCATGGGGTCTGCTGGTTTGCATTCACTATAGTATAAGAATATTCATACCAAGTAGTAACTGCAGAACAGCAGCAGATTGTGCCAACTTGTTTTCTTAGATGACAGTTTGAATATTAGTGCCACCACATGGCTGACAACTGCAGGACTTGATCTGGGCACAACTGTGAGCAGATCACTTCAAGTGATCTTTGAGTTTTTCTCCTTTCTCCCTTTGGCTGGCTCATGGTGACCCCCAAAAATGCTATTGCTCTGGACTCCCTTCAAGCTTGTATATATGATTCTGGACATGACCAAAGGATTAGTGATACTATCCAAGATCCTAAGATTAGAGTTGCATGCAGAAAAATTTACAAGTGTTATGAAATATCAAACTGACTCTTCTAGCAAGGCCCAAGATGGAGTTTTCCTGAAAAAAGATCGACTGTCTGAACTCAGAATATTGTTTTGCTGCTTTGTAACATCAATAACCATGAGCACAATAGTTATAAACTGAAAGAAGGGATGTTCCAGCCCAAAATACAGACACCATTTTTCCTCATGATGATAATTAAGTACTGGAACAGGTTGCCCAAAGAGGCACCTGCCCTGTCAAATCTGTCCTTGGATATTTTCCAGGCTTAAGCAGGCAAAGCCCTGAGCAACCTGGGCTGCATTCAATGCTGACTCTGCTTTGTGCAGGAAACTGGACTGGAGACTCCTGAGGTTCTGTAATTTCTTGACTTGTATTTGTGTAGTAAGTACACCAATAGTCAAGAAAAGTTTCTCTTCTCTCATAGCATACTCAGTGACTACATCTAGTGCAGGCTGAAGTAAGGGAATGACTGAGCAATCTGATCTAGTTCATGATGTCCCTGTTCATTGCAGGGGGGCTGGGCTAGATGACCTTTAAAGGTCCCTTCCAACCCAAACTATTCTGCGATTCTATGATCTTTATAGACTAACTTGGGATGAGTAAGAGGAGGAAAGCAGCATTTTTAATGCTGTGTCCACTAAAGACAAGAAAAGAACCTCCTGCATTTCAACAAGTGAAACTCAGACATCAGGAAAAAGCTCTGTAAAATGTGGAAGAGTTACACACTGAAGTCAACTGCCTGGAGAGTTTGGGGAAGCTCCATTACTTAAATTTCTCTTCTGAGTTGGCCAGACATGTTTCTGTCAGAAACAGCTGGGTGTCAGTGATCTTTTCTCTGGGACTAAATGGAACAAATAAAACGACACCTGGAGGTGCCTTCTACCAGTTCGGGGTCTAAGGTGAAAAAAAGCCAACACTAAAACCAGGGCAGAGCCTGGAGAAGGCTTTAAGAGCTGAACACAAACAGACTTTGCAATACATGCACATGTAGCCTATCAAGAACAGAAGAAAAAGAAGAACTCACAATTACATAAAAGTTTTGTCAAACTAAGACAGGCAGTTTTATAGAGAACATGAGAAAGATTTCAGGCACTTACAAGCATTTTTTGTAGTTGTTCTACGGTTTGATTTGCCACACTGATTCCATTTATTTCTCTGATTTCATCTCCTACATGTAACGTACCTGCAGAGTTAACGGAACACATCATCACCTTAAACATGTTTTTACACACTGAGATAACTGTAAAACAGTTCTAATACTCATACAAAGGCAGAAATGTAAAACAACATTAAATTATTTTTGGGCTAGATTCAGAAAAGGACTTTGCATTAGCTACCAAAGATTACAAATCTGTGTTTCAGTGTGCAGTGGAATACACCAGCAAGAGATGCTTGGGGACTCTATAAAGTGCATGAGGAAAACATCAGTCCCTTACAAGGACACTGCAAAAAGCCACACATTGAGAAGAAAGTCACCTGCAACTAGTCATCTGGAAACATTCCACAGAAATATTTGCAAAAAAAAATAAAAAGATAGAGATAGGAGGCAACTTCATAGCAGCTATTTTGTGATTGGGCACTGTGCAGTTTGTATTCAACATTGCTGGACCTGAAATTATGCAGTTCCTGTAACCCTCCCAAGAGATTTAATATCCAGACATCGCTGTTAAAAATGATAAAAATGATATAACTCCCCAAAACAAAGGCACAAACCCTATCCATAGGACTTAGACAGGTTCTCAAGATCACTGTCAGCTTACAATTGTGTTGTTCTAGTCAGTTAAAACTTTCTAAATATAGGTATTTTGAATGAAGGAGTGAAGTTAAGAGGCATCTAGAGCACTAACAACAAAAGAAGCACTTAAAAAAAAAAAAGGCAACACTACTGAACCACTGAAGTGCAGGTCATTTTCAAACTACACCTATGAGCAGAAGATGAAGCACACAGAGAATAGGTGGAGTCTCCTAAAATAAAAGACACTGTATAATGAAAAAAGAACAGAGTTTTAATGGGCACAGTTGGATTTTTTACCTAGTTTATCAGGTTTTAAAAGTTCTATCAGCCCCATTATGGAACATAGTGATGTGAAATACTGTGCACAGCATCACCACTACCTAAGCACAGTTGGAAGAAAACCTTCCTGTGACTCTTAGAGAAATCTCCTTTTAAAACTCACTTTTAGAGGCCAAATAGATTTCAATTTAGAAGGTCCTCCAAAAGGAGTATAGAAGTCTATCTGAATTACAGCTTGGCTTGTATGAAAACTTTCATCTTTCCTGCTTCCTGACAGGCTTGATCATATCAATGAGATGAATATTACATTTTCTCTTCCTAATTACCTGTTTCTAGATTCCTTTGAAATAGAACACTAGGCTAGAGAGAACTTCGGTTTGACAAATTCTTAAAATTTTTGTGTTCATCAAAATTAAAAATGTCTGAAAAAAAAAGTCTGAAAAATTAAAGTAACACTTTTAAGGGTGCAATCCAAGCCTGCAGGTAACAACCTAGCAGGAAACTTCACCTGTTTAAAGTAGGACAAAACCCAGTTACTATTTGACATCTGTTCTGGACACACAAAATGGAAAAAAGGAGAAGACTGGAAGTGAGGAAAAAAAAATAAATCAATGTTTGCAGTGTCTGTTATAGGAGTGAAAATTGAAAATAGCAATTCAAATTCTGGGCACAAAAAACATTTTTATTTCAAAACCCATTTTTAGGAACCCCAGCATCAAAAATATAAAGACCCTCAAGAACTGTGTGAAAATTCACAGAGAAATGTACAGTATTTTTGTTGAACAAAGCTCTTTCATTGTTGCAAGGAAAACTGTAACTAGTCTAAGGATTTCTTTTAAAAAACCAGAGGATTAAAAAAGTACAGCTCCAGAAATTATTGACATTTCAATCTGTTACTGAGTTATGCTCAGTAATAGTATAGTAATTATCCTAATTAGGAGCTAAATGAAACACAGGGGGCCCTTACCTCAAAACACTGGCAAACATCTGCAGCTGGAAGGGAACTAAAGCTGTGAGCAAGAGTTCATCCAGATGCAGAGGTACACTGCTATGGGACAGCAGCAATCCAAATGAGGAGTATGGACCACTACACAATTTGTACAGAACCATCTAAATAACCCTGAAGACAAAAACTATCCATGAGCCATGATTACCTTGCCGGTGAATCATTCCTCCGTGCATAATTCTTGCCACAATGCAATGGTTCAGCTCATTCATTTTTAAAGTGATTCCCTAGGAAAAAAAAAAGAAATGTGTATACTTTTAAAAATAAACCACTAAGCACTGTGGTTGAGTGGTTAAGAACAGTAACTTTTCCTAAAAGCTTGAAGGCAGGGTATAAATTTTAAGGTTAAAATAAGAACTTTGTTACTCACTTAAATACGAGCAATGAAAACAGAGACTATTTTTAAGGGAAGATGCAATACTTTAACATATGAGCATACAAGAGTCTGCTTTGCTAAAAATGTGATGTTGTATTGAAGTGCAAAGTGGCCAGTTGGAATTAAAGTCTAATTTGCTATAACTAGTGCAAGGTTGCTTTCAAACACAACCAGCTCTAGTGGTACAGCAGCATATGAATGAACATACAGCACTGTAAGGATACACACAGAAGGATAAGTACCTACAACGACTGCTGAACTATTCCAGTTACATTGGCAACCTTACTTTGACATGTGGCAACTGTCACCAAAGTCATTACAATACTGATCTCTACCAGTAGAGCCAAGAAAAACAGTGGTTCCCTCCATACCATTGGTTCATCTGTGTTCTTCTGGAACTGCACCAGTCGAACCCGTGTTACATTCTCCATATCCATGTCGCCGTTGGCGCTTTCCGGAGAATCTCCGTTTAGGTATGGAGAGGTGGGAGGAGGTGTGACTCTCAGCGCTTCATCACTGTAAACTTCATGTGCCACTACATCATGAGTCTGAAGTAAGGCCTAGAGGAGATTACAGCAACAAAACATCAGACTTCAGCACCTCTGACGTCCCTCACTCATTCCCTGGAAGTGCTTTTCAAGCTTTTCAGAAATTCAAGGGAATCCAAGATATTTGTGCCTCACTTTCTACAGAGGAACTTTTCCCTTAAAGGAGACCAAGATAAACTTCAGCAGACTGCAAATACACACACACATGCCTAGTCTTTAAAATCTGTGAGTTAAAGTGATTTTTTACTGCAGATACCTCAGTGAGAGTGATGCTGCCTCCCTGTCCCTCGTCCTCTCAACACCTGTAAGGTGTCAGAACTAGCATTTCAGATGTATTTCTAAAGTGGAATCCAAGGCAGAAATGGGGTTTCTATGGCCTCTACAAAACCCTACATTTGTTCCCAAGGTAGCACTTCTAAAATGTACCATGTTATAAAGGATAATTTTTAAACACTTCACATTCCCATTTCTCACATCAGTTTGAAACTATGGTTGGGAATTCAGCATTCTAATGATGGAATGGAATTCCCTAAACTAACAATGCTTTGCCCACATTCCCTCCTGTTTTTCCAGTGTTTCAAGTGTGTCTACACAAATATTATTTTTAGTTAAATACTAACCTATATCTGCATTTCCTGTTTTTCATTTAATTTTGTCAACCACTAAGCTCAAACTTGCAACAATTCCTCTGCATCTGTCTACTTAAGCAACATTTTAGAGATCTGGATCATGTACGTAAGTTAATAATAAAACACTTTAATAACATTTACTTAAAATTTATTGAATTGGGTGTAAACCTATGTGTGACTACTCCAATGGAGGTTTAGGAATTTAGCTTAGTTCTCATTCCAGCATCTGAAAACTGTTTGCAGTTGGCCCAAACGGGACAAGAGCAGCCACAAGCAGTGGTGCCTTAGCTCTGGCTGTTACAAAAATAATCCATTTGAGGAGTGACTGTGGCCTTGGCTTTGTGGCCAAGCACTCTTTAACACAGTAAGATGATCTTTGTTTCCCTCCCCTCAACCTGCTCAAAGCTACTTACTCAGCTTCACCATTTAAAAGACATGTAGATGTGGCACTTAGGGACATGATTTAGGGATGACTTGGTGGGTCAATGGTTGGACTTGATGATTTTGGAGGTCTGTTCCAACCTAAACAATTCTATGATTCTATGCACCTCCCTGTATATGTTATAAACTCCACACTTTAATATTACTTGAATATTAATATACTTTAATATTACTTTAGAGCAACTTGATCTAGTGAGGAGGTGTCCCTGCCCAGGGAGGGGGTTGGGACTAGATGATCTGTAAGGTCCATTCCAACCCCTAAATTCTCTGATTCTATGAATTCTTGGTAATTCAGGGTCTTGTATTTGTTTCACATCAAATGCTTGCACACTTTATTCTAGATTTTTAGCAATAATATGAATCTTGTAGGAGGTTAAAATATGGTACTTTGAACAGTTTTAAAGGTCCATAATTATACTGATAACTCCTGAATGTGTTAACAAAGAAGAACACAAATCCAGAAGCCCCAGACATTAAAGTCCAGCAAGATCCATTTAAACATTGAAAACATTTAATAAAAAGATTGCTATTGGACTTCACTTAAAGACACCTGTTTTCATGCATTTCTGTAAAATTTGATAATGTAAATTTTTTCCTGTCTCTTTTTTCTTTGCAGAACATGACAATCCTGCTAAAAATAAGTTTAATGAGAACAACTGATTTCTCCAGTATTGCAGGATCACTGTCTGCAGAGAACAGCGTAGGAAGGCACATGATGATGGATAAAACTTCAATATTTAATTAAGCAAATGTCTCCTAGTACAGCAAACATTTTGATTGCTGCAACATACTAAACATATATCATAGAATCTTACAGATAAAACTGGCACATTTGAAAAACTACTCAAAGTTGTGTAATGGAATAAAAGTTCCTTGAAATGTACACATAACAAGTGAGGTATTTGGAAATCTTTTAAAGAATTCTTATGTTAATTACCTGCTGAAAGAACTTTATGCAAAATCGACACACATCTCTTTAAATTAAAATGTTAAGCATGTACAGACTAAACTGATAATTTGTATCTGTACCCAAGAAGGTACCCAAGGGTAAAACAAAACTAAACCAACAAAATACCTTGAACTCAGAGATCTGTTACAAACAAATACTTTATCAGCTTTGGGTCTGTAAAGGTTTATGCAGTATCTAACCCAGTCACACTGTGATTAAATAAACAGGACTGTCTATATTCTGTTGTCTTCTGATTAGGGATAAACGTCAGGTAATGATATAAATGAAACACTCTGTTAACATATAGGTGTTAATGCACATGCTCCCACTTATTACCCCTCTGCTGCTCTGCACCACACCTGGCAAACACAGAGTGCAGACTGACAATACTGTTTTATACAATTATTCCTTTTCCTAATAGTCTGTTTTAAAGGCTTCAGCTCTGCAGGAAAGTGTTGCAGAATGGCACAAATCTGAGAAAAACTTTGCTCAGGTCTGCAACCCCCTAAAAGGTGTATCTGGGAGGAGGAGTGGGGATGATGGGCAAGGATGGAGTTGCCTCTTTGACACCTGGAGGCTCTGTGGAATCTGCACCCTGCAGAGATGGTTCCACAGCAACTCATGTTGCTTTAAGTGCTGCTTTGTGTGTTTGTGCCATTCCTCCCTAACCCCAACTGTGTGTTTTGATCCCCTTGCTAATTCTAGCTCTGGCAGTATTCCTATTGTCCTAAATTATTTTTCCTAAATGGGTTGCTGTTTTGTTGGAGGAATTCTCTACTAGTTTAGCATAGTGCAATACTGAAGTGCAATTTCAGATGGAAGTCAGAACAACTGTAAGGGACGGGATGAAACCTGGGGAGAAAGGATGATGGGACTTCAGCAATCAGCAATTTAGCATGGGATGCCATTGACTAACTTGCTGAAATTACTGCTCATCAAAAACACTTGTTATGGAATTGCAGTTTATTCCTTATAAAAAGTACTTTCTGCAGAATTGCAGCAAATCAATTCTGACAGATGGTTTTAAATTTATGAGGACATCAGGAAACAGAGATACCTATAAAAGGGGATTTTCAACTCAATTTTCTTGTCACTTGATACATGAAATTTCTATATAACACAATCACTTTTATTGATGCCTACTCTGAAAATAATGTATACTTTAAAAATGCTCTTTCTCCTCTGTGCCTAATGTTTTTGCAACACTGTGTGGAAATTACACACAAAAAAGTAGATCAAATGAACCTTCAAGTAGTTCCACCAGACTGGACTTCAGGAATGTGAACCAAGTTATTATGTATTCATCTCCCTGAACTTAGGACAATTACTGCCCTCAAATCAGATTAGGGAAACAGGCACAGTAGGAGTAGGTATGGAACAGAAACTCAGTAGACTGTTCAAGATATTGATTTATTGTAAAATATTATTAAACGAACACTTATTTTGTAATGATTTAACACACCTTTATCCTAAGACCACCATGGGAAAAAGGGAGATTTCAGCTCTACCTATGGACACCCAAAAGGATTCATTTTTCTTTCTGTGTGCACCACAGCTCCCCCAAAAGACAGTGCAACTGCTCCAGAATTAGATCACTCCAAACTGCTGATAGTTTTCAGCACAGTAATGAGGACCAATAGCAGCAACAACACTAAGTCTTTTGCCAGATCAACAGATTAGAAATACTTATTAATAGGTATATTGTCTGCAGTTTCATCACTTGCAGATTTGAAGAACTTCCTGAAGGAATATTAAAACCCAATAAAAATCACCCTCACAAGAGCAGCATTTGCTTACCATGAAATGAGGTTGTGTTAAAATACGCTTTAGCTCCTTTGCATCATTGTTCTCTGGGTAACATGAAATTTCTTCCAATACCTGCAAAATAATCAGGAGAAATGTCCCTAGTAACTTCCTATTAAATAGAGCTATTAAATAAGTGAAAACCCCTCACTGCTAAGTCAGAATATCTCCAAAGGATTATAAAAACCAACATTTTTGACAGGAAAGGGCTTAGGAGAATGTGTCCCCCCCACCCTAAGAGAATAAAATACCTCATTCTAATTTTCTTTCTGAAAGAGATTAAAGCAGAAATTTGAAGGAAACAGTTGTTCTTTTTTCAATTGACAATATTCCTCCAACAGCTAAATCCATGGAGATAGAAATGCAGTGCTAAAAAGTGACACACATGACCAACCACCAGTTGCTGCTTTTGCACATGGTCTCACTTTATTAAAACAACCAGTTTAAAGGCAGAATTAAAAATACTCATAAAACCAATTGTTAAAGACATCAAGTGTAGGTGGCCCATCTGCTAACCCACCTCCAAGCTCCAGATTTCATAAATCTCAGCCACACTTCAGCTTAGCACTGGGAAAGGAGGAGGGAGGAAATAAGCTTTGACTCCTTTGCCTGCAACCTGATTCTTACACCTTTATTTTCACATGCAGCTACTTGGACAATGAGAGCAGAGTATTTTGCTTCTGGAAGCATCTCTCAAGATTGACTGCCAGAAAATTTAGCAGAATAGGATTTGAGGGAATTTGTCAGTGTGACTTATAATGTAGAGTTTTAAAGTCTTTCTGTTAATTCTAATAGCCCTATAAAGTGTTTTCCTATGACATTACCCCCAACGACTCGACTATTTTTTTACTGATAATAATTAGCACTCTTTTTAAACTACTTGCAATACATAAATAAATAAAATACTCTTTGCCAGGTATAAGAATTAAGAACATTTGTCTATATTTAACTTTGGTCTTCACCTTCATTGCACTTCCAGGTCTGCTCTTCTTAGACCTATGATAAACTTGTTTTTCCAAGTTAAAAATCTGATACTTCGAATTTTTTGTGACTGACATAAACACCAAACTTCTGCTGCAGATGAATAAACCCAACATGAATGATGCTGCAATTACCTAACAGGAGTGTTCATTTTAACACTGCTCTGGTTACAGCAAAGGTTGAATGATTAAACTAATATAATCCTTACAGACAGAATGGAATTCTGCAAGTTTATGCTACTTGTTACATAACTTAAGTAAGCAGTGGTAGAATTCCAGAAATAATTCACATAATGAGTCTGAATACAGATCTTAATAAAGACAAATTAGTTCCACTTTAAATACAATCAAGCTTTCAAAGTAAAAAATGTATTTTAAAGCATTACCTCTTTGGCTCTCTGTACAGCATCACTTGGAGGATTCCTGATTTGTGGCGAAGATTTTGTGTTTATTTTGTCATAAAGCTGAAATAAAAAGAAAACAAACTGCTGAAATTGTATGCTACTTTATATAAATTAACGACTGCTTACAGGAGTCTGGTTGTGTTACCAGGATTAGGATGATGCTAAACTGCAAAACCCTAGCAGCTTAGTTTTTTTGGCTTTTCATTTTTAAACATTTCCTGACTTGAACATTGCCATAGATTCAGAGTTCATAGGATGACATGGGAAAGTTCAAGAGGTTAAGGGATTCTGCAAACCTCCCATGCTTTTTCCACAGATTTACAGAAACTATATTCTTCTGCTAGAAGTGCCCTATGAATCTTGAATAAATGCTGAAAAGCACACATTCTGCTATCAAATCAAAATCCACACAGCTCACTCTTCCCAATAAATCAAAACATCAAACATTCTGAACAGCAATTAAAATAAACCTCGGAATATGGGAAAATATTCTTGAACAAGGACTTTGCAGAAGAGAAAAACAGACTTTCCAAGAAAAGAGTGCTCACAAACCAGAGTACCCTTATTTTACCAGCATTTTCTATCCACCAGCAGAATGCCAATGTATTTAAATAGGCTATCACAGACCTTCCAGGTTAATTATTGCTTAAAAAAAACTTTCAAAACCCACTCAACTATGCAAAACACAATAGGAGAAAGATCTTTCTTCAGTTTCAAATTAGAGACAGATATTACAGGTTCTTTTCCATGCAAACCTAACAGATTGGTGAATGTGTTAAAGGAATAAATGTCTACTTAAGAATTACCAGGCACTGTAATAAGTAGCAATTTCAAATAAAAACCTTTTGGCTTACAACTCAAACAATATAAAGACGGTCATGTCTGTAATTATTTCCTATTTATGTGAGACTGCTTTGAAAGATAAGACATAGAAAAGAAAAAAAATAACTAATTTTAAGATACTAGAGAAATTTTCATCACACTGAGGGTGGTGAAACACTGCAACAAGTTGCCCAGGGAAGTTGGGGAACATCTCAACATTGGAAATACTCTTCTCTTTCTCACATGAAACACCATTCAGCTTTAGAAGAGATGTAAATTGCAATAAACACAATCCAGTATCATCATTTTCCTGTGTTAACAATCTAATGCACATGCTGGACCTCTCAAGCCCATAAACAAATAAATACAAAATGAGGAAACAATGTCACTTCCAGAAAAAAACATTGCCTGCAGGATACCTATACCAAGATCTTGGGGCAAGAAAAGTAGAAAAGTCAAGCTAAATCAGTTTCTTCCAGTGCAACAGCTTCACTTTGTGCTTCCAATACACTGCTCTACTCCACAGCTGAAGCAGCCTTGATCATATTGAGGGTTTTAAAAAAAAAGCTTTCTGCTAGCTTATAGTTCAGGAGATACTTGTGTGCACAATTATTTGTTTCTACCTTTTCTTACATAAGTAAACAAAACCTACTCAAACTCCAGCAACTCCAAATGACTAAGTATCACACTTCTATACCTGTTAAGACACTGCATCAAGCTCTGTGTTCTGGGCAAAGCACAGCAGAAAATGCACAATACCCAACATAAACATCATTAAAAGCATTTTTCTCAAAGAGTCACAGAGACATCCTGTTTAAGATTAATGAAATTGCAGGAAAGTTACCATGAAAATATGTTTACTAGTTATTTCTAGCAATGGTTGAAAAGCTAAGCCACTGAAATTGCTAATTGGCCTCAAGTCATTGCTACTCTGATCCAAAACAACCAGCAGTTTACAGAAACAATTTTTACTCACTATCATGGGACAGTTATCTTCTGAGATTAGGAAGGAGGCAGAAAGGAAAGTAGAGAGCAGAGTTCCTCTAAGAATGTTTAGCAAAAAAAAATCAAGGCAAAGTTCAGACTAAACAAGAATGCATTTATTTTTCCGTAGCGCCTTCATGCCGAGCCATGGCACTAAAATTGCAGCTCCCAGAGCTGCTGCTTACTAACATTTGCTTCCAAGGCACCAAACTATTAGGAGAGTCTCTGACAGTACTTAAAGAAAGGTTTAAAACCTATATGTTACCCCAGCCATGGGATCTGTTCACTGTTTCTGGAGTTGGAAGACAACCTCCCCCAGAAAAAGGATGGATTTTTGGTAGCTTTACTAGCATGAGAACATCTCTTAATTTTGAAACGGTATTCTCTAATTCAAGTTAATTCATGGAGTTTTTAGTTTACAAGGGGACCAGGCTACATATGGTAAGAGGAGCAAAGCTTATACTATGCATTAATGCACCAGAACTGGTGAAGCAGTCCCACCATCCTTGCAATCTTTGAAAAAGGTTTTGCAATGCTTTTCAGTATTTTTGCACTTAAATAATAGTGCAAGAAGCAATTTAGAAGCAGGAATCTGCAGCTCTAGAATTCACCTCTGAAAGCATCAGAATGTAGAGGTGTCATTTAGACACATTAAAAAGAACATCTGTTCCCTTGGACACAAGAATCCAACATACCTGTACACAAATGTTCTACAAAACAGTTAAGAAAACTTTGAAGGAAACCTGTTTGGATACTTCATAAACTAAAGTGAACATTAATGATACTTACAGCTAGGCTGTATATATTCCTATGGTACAGGACACATGAGTATGTGCAGTTAACTAGAGAATTTTAATCAAGAAAAAGAGCCTGTGCTGGTGCCTTTCAGCAGATCAGGAACTCCTTCAGGGACCACACCAAAGGTGGTTTCTGGTGGAACAGAATGAACTGGTTCATTCTTCACTGTCCTTAGCGGAATGCTTTTCTATGTATTACAGACCTACAGCAGGACAAAATCTCCATGTGCCCTAATGATGGGCTTTTTTTTTTTTTTTGCTGCAAGTCTCTATTTTCCAGCAAGTAACTCTGTCCCCTCAGCCCAGGAGCCCAACCACCAACAGTTCCACTCAGCAATAACCATAAACATAACAATCACAATTTTCTAATAATTAAAAAAGAATTGCTGTAAAATGCCACAGCTATTGTAACTTTTGGCCTTTCCAGACTTTAGAATACTTTGCATCTCAGTCTCACTCCTTAGTACCAGCTCTTCTGCATTTGCTAGAGAGAAAATCAAAATGAAGAACTTGCTCTAGACAAACTTGACAATCCCAACCGAAATATTAACAGAACTTGATATAACAAACATAAAGAGACATTATAGCTAATAAACAGAATAGTACTTCTTAAAAAGGCAAGTTTTGGTTTAAATTTTGCATGCTAGAACACAAATGCTATGGAGAGAATACCCACAAGTTGTCAAGCAGTGCTGCTATCAGCAAACCAGCTTTCACAGGGTTGAGACTTTTTCTTCTCTGCCTGGATAAAGGGAACTCCTTTCTTCTGATATTTAAAGCAGACAGCCCAAAGTCTAATCCACAATCAGGGAGGCGAGACAAAACAACAAACTCTCCTCTTCTGACTAGTTTTTCAGATGTGCAGAAATTCCTTTTAACTATTTCCTGTCAGAGGAGTCAGAATACTGTCCCAGCAGTTGTGTTCCCCATTCAATGCCACACTGAAAAACTGAGTTATGTCGCAATCAGGAGAGACTTAGCCTCACTGCCTGGTCTAACCTTGAATGAACCCAAAGTTAGATCATACACTGAAATCAGTAAGTATTTTATCTATCTAAAATGTGGAAGTTTCTCTGAGAAACTCATTAAAACCAGAGCTACTGAGCTGCTAGAGCATAAACCCCCATGATCTTTCAACTCAAATACACATAAAGCTGTAATTCAGACACACAGAGTTGCCAACCTCAAATATATCCTCAAATCGAAACATCTAAAATTAATCATTCAAATATGTCCTTATATATTTGACTTCTGCTTTCTGAACAATATAACCACACGTAACACAGTGATATTAGAGGATAGTTTTCCACCACTTTTAGGTTTTTGTGCCATCTGAAGAGTCTCAGGTGGAGGTGCTGCCCCTTGCACAGCAACATTTACTAACAGATTTGCTTGTTGCCCTTTACCTCCCATAGCTTCCTACTGTGCTACTCACTTACCCCAGAGGTTCCATGTGCTGCAAGTCTGAAAGAAATCCATGACCTACTGAACAGAACAATATTCCTAAGCAGTGACATCAAAGAAGGGCTAAAGTTGAAGAGCCAATTAGCTAATTGATAGACTACTTCATTCTTTCTTCTGCCTGTTCTGTTTCACAGCTCCTTTTCCATGCAAAATATTATAACCTTCCCACGGATTCCTCTTTCCTTGGGATTCTATGCCCTCAGAGAAACGTCCCTAAGATAACAATTCCTATTGGAAAACACACTGAGGAACAAGGTCACAGTCAGCAGATAAAGCTATCTTCAACTTTGTTTAGAGATGGTTTGTTCTGTCAAACCCTCAGTTTGACACTGTTAAGGACTGTGCCTGCAGCTCACTCTTACCCCTGGAGCATCAGTGACCTAACATTCACTGCCCAGCACAATTCTACAGCACAGATCACAGTCCCACCCCGTATGAAAGCCTGAAACATCTTTAAGACTCTACTTTGTGACCTCTAGAGCATTACAGGTTACAGCTCTCCACATTTTTCTGCATGATACACTTGTAGAACAGGAGCACAACCAACCTTCGTGCTCCAATTCCTTACACAGTGAAATGCTGAGCAACGAAACAGTAAACAAAACTACTTAACAAAAGGGTTCAGGAAGCAGTTTATCAGCTGAAATGAAGATTCCCTGACAGAGTATTCTCAGAACAAGACAGTCTGAAGCAGAACATGAATCCTGTCTGAACAGACAAGTGTTTGTTCCCGTCATGCCACAGCACTGACATTTTCAGAGGAACTTTTATCTGCAAAACACAGATCAACTGCAATTTGCATCTGTATTCTTACATGTTCATAATGTGTTACTTGTAGAACAGAGTTACACTTGCAGCTGCCTGTGTCAGAAATAAACATAAACCCAGATTTTCTTACACCTTTACCTACAAAAACAGGTAAGAGGAAATGATGCCAGGTAAACTCAATCAGCCCTATGGAATTTCAGCTTTTACTCCAAGCTTCACTGAAAG